TTAAGCGACTGCCTTCGGCTCAGGTCATGATCCTGGAGTCCCTGGATCGAGTCCCGCATCGGGCTCCCTGCTCGGCAGGGGGTCTGCTTCTCCCTTTGACCCTCCCCCCTCTCATGTGCTCTCTGTCTCTCTCATTCTCTCTGTCTCAAATAAATAAATAAAATCTTTAAAAAAAAAAAAGAAAACAGAGAGGTAAATAGCTCATGCAAAAATTTTGAAGAAAACACATTATGTCCAAAACACAGTATCTCTGGGCTGCTCTTTATTTCACAAAATGTTAACATTTGAAAATGGTTTTCTAAGTCTCTAGTTCTATAGTACAAACCAGACTGCTATTTCTTTAAACTATAGAACATTTCCTGAAAAACTAAATACCATTTTTATTGTAGGGAGTTAGTAGCAAAAAATTTACCTCAACAAAACAAACAGGATGCCACAAATCAGCTTTTTCCAGATTATCTCATAAAAGTATAGAGACCAAGAGAAAAGAACAAAACATGTCAAATGTGGGTTGGCATGATTCAGTGTAACATTTATGGATGGTTTTATGGCTCCCAAATTGTACTTTTATTACTTCCCAAGAGCCATTCATGAAATCTGTTGCAATGAAGACTCAAATCATATATAAATTTTCATCTGTAAGTAAAGAGTTTGTTGCCCTCTTGAGGTAAACTCAAGAACAGAAACAAAACAACGCTGGCTTGGCCTAGTCAATTACAGAAAGAGGCTTTCTTCTCCAACAGGCTTTTTCTACAAACATATCATGATCTGAAGCTGGAGAGTTATAATACAAATTCTATTTTTACCCCAACAACAGACAACTTACAAAAGGCACTAGAACATTTCTGCAAAAATAAAGCTAAAACTTCACACCAAGAATAAAGCAAAAATTTTAAAGTTTCAACAGATAAAAATGTCAAACTAGCTGCATCCTAAAAATTCATTATGCAGATCTTCAGTTAACCTAGCTCATATGACCCAGGGGACCCAAACTATAGACTGTGAAAAGCTTTATGGCAAACTTTTATGGAGGTTGGGTCAGTGGGGCAAGTCCAAGAGAGTATACTTAATTCCAATTAGTAAACAAGGTCTTCAACACAAGAAGTAGCTGCACTGAGAGAAGAATATATAGTATCTAAGTACAGGTAGAAAAATTCAATGGTCTTGATAGATTACCCTGTTAGGGAATTCTCAGAGTTAAATTAATTTTAGTCAGTAATTCTGAGGTACTGTTGCCATTTCAATGTCATGGGGCTTTGAACTAATTAATGTTGTTTCCCCTCAACTTACATTTTATTCTAAGCTATCATCTGATTTTCAGTATTAAGAAGAATGGGTTAGATTACATCATTATTCCTCTGAAGTTTCAAAGACTTCAGTGTTTTACTAAGCATGATTTATATTCATGAATGATCAAAGTTTTGAATAAGCAGTAAAAATATGGTCACCATCTCATCTTGCTACTAACGATCCTGTAGGAGAAAGAGATCACACCAGCCAGCTGTTGTTAAAAGTCTAGATTCATGGACACAGAATTAACTCATCACGTTCTCTAGAAGCAATCAAACGAAGTAGGTTCCTCATACACTCTCCCAATTGCTGAACTCTATACAGATCCCTCCAGATACCCTTGATAGCTCAGGGGACAGGGAAAGTAGGAAGGACACAAAAGCCTATTCTAAGAGGTTGCCCTACCTAAGTCATTAGCTGTCAGTATTGACCTACAGATTGATCATTCATTCAAAATTCATTCACACATTTACTTATGGCTACTATGTGCCAAGAACCATTTTATTTACAGAGCGATGAAAACCACCCTTAGGTTCATTCAAACTTTGGTTGCATTTACTACTCTATAAAAAATTCTCTAAGAGGGGCACTATTTGAACAACTTTGTAATTATCTATGTGACCCTCCCTCCCCAATATAAAAGAGAAGCCAGAAAAAAGCCTGAAGGCAGGAAGAGGAGTGTAAAAAAACTCTAGAGAGACATTATTCCTTCCAGTATTTTGAAGTTCTGATGATGTACACACATGTGCACTCATATACACACACACACTCTCATACATTTTTATACCTAGCACAGTTTCTTGCATTATAGCAAAGTTCAGGCTCTGAAAGCAAAGCTGCCTGGTTTCACAGCCCCACTTGGCTGCCAAACTACCTGTGTGACTTTGACAAGTTGCCTAATCTCTGTGCTTAGTTTCCTCACCTGTAAAAACAGGGATACTTCAAATACTTAACTCAGGGTGCCTGGGTAGCTCAGTTGGTTAAGAGTCTGCCTTCAGCTCAGGTCATAATCCTGGGGGTCCTGGGATCGAGCCCCACATGGGGCTCCCTGCTCAGCTGGGATTCTACTTCTCCCTCTCCCTCTGCCCCTCCCCCTGCTTGTGCTCTCTTGTGTGCTCTCTCTCTCAAATAAATAAAATCTTTACAAATAAATACTTAACTCAAAGGTTTACTGTGAGTTTTAAATAAATGAATACTTATCACAATGCCCAGCACATGATATAGAGTAAACATGAATGTCCTCCTTTACCCCCACCTCCCATGTCCCTCCCTCCTCAGCTCTAATGCCCATAATAATCATCACTCTACTACCTCTTCCATGCATTTACATTTTCTAAGCATTTACACACATTTCCATGTGCTTACATTCCCATGCACTTACATTTATGTGCATGTACAAAAATAATGGAATCCATACTGTAAGAATTGCTTTAAAAATTGCTTTTTCACACAGTATACCTCAGAGACCAATAACTCTCCCATATTAGGTGATCTTATTCATCTGCATTGCATCTAAATGCCATGTATAGGTTGATAACCCCCAATTTTGCATTGCCAGCCCACATGTCTCTTGTATAGTCTATCTGAATCTCCACTTGAATGTATCTTAGGTATTTCAAATTTAACAATATCCAAAGTAAAATTCTTGGTTTTCTCCCATATACCTGCTCTTCCCTCTGTCTTTTCCATCTCAGCATATGGCATCACCAATCAACCATTTCTTATAACCAAAAGTTGGGTATCATGCTTGATTCCTTCCTCTTTCTTACCCCCAACCCAATCCAAAGTCCTGTCATTTGCAACAATAAAACAGAATTCTAATCCATCCTCTTCTCCATCATTACTGCCACTCAGCTGTTACTGCCCTCAACTGAACTATGATGGATATAATAGTCTTCTATCTGGCTTCTCATTTTTACTCTTGTAATCCTCTAATCCATTAGCTAGACAATAGACAGAACGACCTTCTTATCAACCTGAATGTGTCACTCTCCTGCTTAAAACCATTCTCTACTTCCTACTGCATTTCAAATAAAATTTTAGCTCCTCAAAAGCATTATATTCTCTGGCCCATATATATCTCTGCAAGCTCACCTTATGACATGCTCTCCTTTGTTCGCTGGAGTCTAGACACACTGGCCTCCTCTCTGTTCCTAGAAGACTCCAAGATCTTCCCCATTTCAGTGCCTTTGTCTATTTTTTTCTGCTCTTGGCCTGATTCCTCCTTATACTTTGGGTCTCAGATTAAATATCACCACTTTGTCTAGAGAATAAACTTATTTATCATAGTATAGCCTATTTCATCATTAGCATTCCTGTTTATATGTTGAACTAGTAGAAATAAGCACCACAAGGGCAAGGACAACATCCTTCTTATTCCCAGTGCCTAAATCAATACACAGCACCTAGTGGGACCACCATAAATATTCGGCAAATAAGAGGGAATAGTATATGGCAATTAACTAGGTCTAGGTTTTCCTGAAACTTCTGAAAATAAATACTTTTAAGACTCACTTTTTAAATAACTGAACTATATATATAAAATGTTAGTATTCTTCTTGCTAAAAACTGAGATATGATATCAAAGAATGTATAATTCTCTTTTGTCACAATGAATAAGTCCTCTCATTCATGAACAGAAATTATTTAGTAGTTATTAATAAAATAAGTTATTAAATAATAATCACTTGTTTTGTTGATTTCATGGCAGCCAGATGTTTTACATAAAGTGTACCCCTAGTGCTCTTTTTGAGTGGACTGAAAGCTCAACTAGTCAAATCAAAACTACTCCTGTAGTTCAGACCAGCCTAAGGTTGATAAAAACCTTCAGTAGATTTTATGAATCACTCTTTCTCAGAGAATACTAATGTCAACGAACCATACACACTTATTTAAAAAAAAAAATAATTTTTTCAATGAAAACAATCCTTTCCCACAAAATAGACATAACTATGAGAACTAGGAATGTGTAAGGCGATGGATGCTAACTAAGCTGACTGTGGTGACCATTTCACAATATATGTAAGTCCTTATGCTGTACACCATAAACTTTTACAATGCTGTATGTCAATTATATCTCAATAAACTAGAAAAAGATGTATTTTAATTATAACCCATCAAAAATATGCAAATAAAAAGAACAAAATCTACCCCCTTCACCCCAATCCCCACCCCCCCACCAAAAAAGAACTAGGAATATAGATGTAGAGCAGAAGGAATTCTCACAGGCTGCGGCTAGAAGGATAAGCTGACAACCACTCTGGAGAATATGGTAAAATAAGGATTTCTTACTTGACTGCCTCGTAAATATTGTTGGAGGTATGTCCTGATAAGGCATCATGTAAATTTCGAATAAAATAGTCTCTGTATTCTTCTGGAAGGGCCATAAATGTTCCACCCATCACAATAAACTCCACTTTATCCACACTGTGACCAAGTTGTTTTAACTGAAATACATATAAATTCATTAGTATTAGACATATATAGTCAACTATCCTAAGAAGGCATTGCAAATTTCTAATTTTATTTTGTAGTGTTTTCATCGGTATAGTTTAAAAACAAAACGCAATTAAACATATTTAGTGAATTCTGTGGATTGAAAAAACAGACTCCAGAGTCTGAAAGAAAAAAAAAATTATAGCTCACAGAGGGAAAGGGAGAATTAAAAAGAACCAGCAAGAAGCTTGACATCGAGCAGGAAGGGCAAATATAATAACAATACAATATGCAATATAATAAACGAGTATTTAGTGATTATGTATTTTTATGTCAGAACACTTGCAGTAAGCCTTGGGGGCAAAAAAGATGACTATATGAAACATAATCAGGACTTGATGCCAATAGAAGAAAAAGAACACTACATTAGAAAGAAAAATTAAGAAAGCAGTTTTAAATCAAAACTTTAAAGTTTTAAATCAATTGTGAAGATTATGAGCACAGGTGGCATTGCTCTCTGGGGAAAAAAAGGAAAAGTCTGGTTGATAAAATATGAAATATTATCTCTCTACTAGGGGAGAGAATGGTACAGATTTTTCATTTTGTCAACTATAATAAGCAAGATTCTAAATTTTAAAAACAGGTATTTAAATTTCTTAGGTTCCTCAAAAAATTAAAAACAGAAAATCAGTATGAGCCAGTAATTTCACTACTGGGTATCTAACCAAAGAAAACAAAAACACTAGTTTGAAAAGATATATGCACTCCTCCGTTTATTAGTCAATTATTTGTAAATAATTACATTACTTACAATACCCAAGATATGAAAGCAACCTGAGTGTCCACTGATAGGCAAATACATAAAAAAGATGCAATATATATATATACACACACACAGTGGAATATAACTCAGCCATAAAAAAGAATGAGATCTTGCCATTTACAATAACATGAAGGGAACTAGAGCATATTGTGCTAAGTGGAGTAAGTCAGAGAAAAACAAATACCATATGATTTCATTTATATGTGGAATATAAATAACAAAAACAGATAAAAAGTAGACCCATAAATGCAGAGAACACACTGATGGTTGCCAGAGGGTAAGTGGGTGAGTGGATGGACAAAATGGGTGAAGGGCAGTAGGAGATACAGGCTTCAGTTACGAAAAGAATAACTCATGGGGATAAAAGGTACAGCACAGAAAATATAGTCAGTGATATTGTAACAGCGTTGTATAGTGACTGATGGTAGCTATACTTGTGGTGAGCGCAGCATAACAAATAGAAATGTTGAACCACTAGGCTGGACACCTGAAACTAATGTAACACTGTGTGCCAACTACACTTCAATTAAAAAATTCTTGCCATATCTTAGGCTTGAGAAAAACTGGGTCAAGTAGACTACCGAATTATGAACTCTAATTAAGGCACTATGTAAAGGATGTCTACACTTAATCTGGACAAAAAGGCACCTTTTAAAATGTTTGTTTCTGAAAATGGCAAATAATTTATACATATGTATACCTTTATGTATGTAAATCATATTCATACATATGCATACACATGCAGATATGTATTTAAGTATATATGTAAGTTGCACAAACACTAAAAGAAAGCTCTGTATCTATGACTGTTTATAAAGGATACACAATAAAATCACTCTGGAAGCTCAAAATATCTTGCCAGTACCCTAAACCACACTTAATCAGAACTCCAGAGGTGAAATGCTGGCATATGTTATAGAAAAGATACTCAGGTGATTCTAGTGCATTTACAGTTAAAAGAATCACTGTTCTATAGTAGTTTCTAAATCTTTTAAAACCCATTCCCTTTTTGGTAAACATAAAAATTTCATATGCTATTGAAACATTTTATTTATTTATTTATATTTAAAAAATTTTTTTTATTATGTTATGTTAGTCACCATACAGTACATCATTTTAAATGAATTAAATACCACAGTTAAAAAAGAAACTGAAGCAATGGGCAGTTTAGAACATGCTTTTCTAAACTCTGGAGGTTCCACCCAGGTGGGGTCCCTCTCCTATAGCTGACAATCCTGATCCACATGTGCTTGGGTGACAGTGAAGTGAAAAATCTGAATTGGCTGGTATTCACTAATACTAGTTAGAAATGACTAGAAATGACTTAATGACGATGGATGTACTACTTTCCACTGGAGATTTTGTAGCTGCCCTACTAGATGTCACTGTAAAAGTTAGTGTTCACACTTCCTTAAATTGGGTAAGTTCAAAATAGAATTGTAAGAAGGAAAAACTATATTAATGTTCAGATTTCCCAAATAGAGCAAGGCCATTTACAAAGCACTTGTTTTTAATCAGTTATACTGGAAGTATAATTTACATACACTAAAATCAATTAATTTTTAAGTGTAAAACTGGATGAGTTTGGGTAAGTGTTTAGAGTTGTGTAACTACCACCAGAGTCATGATATAGGACAATTTCACGACTCCCAGGAGTTCCTCATACCCTTTTGCAATCAATTCCCTATTCCCAACCTGGCAAACCAGGCACAATACTTTTTATGTGGCTTATGGAAGCAAAAATTCAATCCATCCACTTACTGTCTAAGAACTTCCACGCATCTACATGTGTAAATTTCATATGGTAAGTGAGTTTGTACAAGTTGAAAGAAATTTAGAGACTATAAAACCCTTAAAATAATACAGTTGGTAAAGGAAGTAGTGTTTCTGACCTTGCTGGGTATTGCAAAACAGTCTCCCTCCTTCAGATAGATATTAAAACTTACTGAGGGGAAAGACACTCTTTTAGTTATTTCAGGTTCAACTCAAATCAAACAATAATACCTTCTGTATACAAAAACCTAATTTAAAAATGCTTTTTAAAAACTTACCTGTTCTATTCGGTGTCTTGTCTGTAGATAAGGGTCATATCTAGCACGGATAGCTCGCATGGAGGTTGGCTAAGAAAAAAAGAGAAAAATCTCCTGCTGGGCCCACATTCAATAAAAAATAAAAAGTAATTTCTAAAGGACTGTATTAAAAATAAAATCCTCTTGTGCTCCTTCCTTCTTCAGTCTTGTCAGGGATCAAAATAATGTTCTGAATAGCATCTGGCTAGTCTCTACCCCCACTGTCTTAAGTATCTGAACAGCAGGGAATCTCCTTGAATCATATTTATCTTTGTGTAAACACTTATGAAATCTCCAGGGTCACTTTCTGCTGGAGCAGAAAGGGGTGGCTAAGGGACAGAAATGAGAGGGAGCCTTTTCACTGAATAATTCCTTTTGTATTTTTAACAATTTCAACAATGGAAAACAAGTAAAAAGTGAAATGCCATATATAAGAAAAAGTCCAGTGGTTTGCTGGCTGCTGACCTCTTCTGAAGAGGCTGACCGTTTCAAAAGCCTATTTGCTGTTCTCCTGCTTGCACCCTGTCCCTACTCTCATCCTTTACCCACACAGATCTTTTAAAATGATCTTTTCAAACCCTACACTGGAACAGACCATCCCCTTGCCTTCAACCATAATGGCTTCTCATGCCACCTATAATAAAATCCAAACTCTCTGCCCAGCTTACAAACTCCTATGTCATCTGTCTCTCCAGTCTCATTCCTCCCCTTACCCACCAAGTCCTGGTACACCTCACTATCGTTCCTGCTACAGCTCCTTGTTCTAGCTATTCTCTCTGCTGGGAATGCTCTCTCCTGATATTCCTGCATGGCTCCTTCATGTCATTCAGGACTCAGTTCAAATATCATCTCCTCAGACAGTCACTTCCCAACCACCAAGACTAAAGTATCTACTCATCTTCTACAGATCTAACTCGATTTTACTTCTCAGCTTAACATTTACTAGTACCTGATATTTTCTTCTTTCTTGTCTATCTCCCATTATTAGAATGTAAATTCCATAAAATCAGGGACTTCGTCCATTTTCTACTGCTGAAGAAGCAGTATAATGTGGTGAGGAACAAAGAATTCAAAACCTGGGTCTGTCACTTATTAGCAGTGTGTCTCTGGGCCAGATGTTTAGGACTTCTAAGCCTGTTCCTTATTCATAAAACCAGGATAATAACAGTGTCTTCACTTCAAGATGCTGCTGTAAGGTTTAAGGTTGTAAAGCACTTGGAATAGTTTGACATATGTAACAAGTGCTTATATAAGTATTTTTCTAGTGACTAGAGCAATATATGTAGAGACTCAGCAAATATTTGATGAACTTCTATAATCAGGAAAAAAATTAAAAATTAAAAAATTTCAGAAAGCCATACTTGTATAAGCACACTATAGGTAAAGTATGATGTTACACTTCCTCAGGACAACCTCACATTACTTTACCTCATATCCAGTATAAGACTGGGTTGAATATTCAAAATCTGAATCAGGTCCACCGGGGCAGTATCTGCCAGTACAACCAAAGAATAAAGATGTCAGACACAAAATTCAGTTCAACAGTCTAGTGCAAGTATGTGCAGTCTCCATAAAATCCTGAGAGCAAACAAGCTTCATTTTCAAATCCTAAGAGTCTATCTTTGCAGTATTACAATTAATATATTTTCTACGAACAAGTAAACACAATAAACATATAAGGAACATTATTGTAGTCATTTGGAGAATGTTGCAGTCACTGTTATTTTAGAGGTTTAAGCTTTTAGGAAGAAGTAACAGGATTTAAGTCTTCCTAGGTTTGGAATGATACAGTGCTCTCTTGGTAACTATACTTAGAAAACCTTTCTCTCATTTAATCTTCCTACCTAGAATCATGCATATTCTTCCGCCTATTTTTCCAATTATCTGAATTTAAGAAGTTTAAAGGTTATTTATAAGGGTAACTTTTTAATTTGATACTTTTCTGATCCAAACCTATTTTAGATTTCTGACATTTAGAATTTAGGCAGCTCCATATTTCCATGTTTCATTTATCAAGTTAATAGACTGTCACTCTTGAGTTCTCTAACCTATGTATTTTTTATTACAACATATTAAAATCTTTATATGTTTCATTTTTAAAGCATCCTATCAATGGCTGCTTGCTTCAAAGAACTAACTTATGAATCTACTGAATCGAAGTTTTAAGTATTACCAGCATGGACTGATTAAGACTCTAGGGGATTAGCTAATTCATTTAAAGTACACACACACACACAACTTATGAAAATCATCCACACTTACACGCATATATTTCCTGTAAAACTGATGTGTGGGCATCTGTGGGGTTTGCACATCACAGCCACAACAGCAATCTACAAAAGAAAAATTAATAAAAAAGCTATTATGGAATGATGAATACACAATCTTGGAGAGTGGTTATCTCTCAGAAGGAGGAAAAGGAATACAATCAGGAAATGGCACATAAGGAAAAAACAAAAAAAGAAAATGGCACATAAGGGGCTTCAATGTATTGGTAATGCTGTATTTCTTAAGCTGAGCAGTGGGTATAAGGGTGATCTCTTTTCAATGTTTTTAATCTCTAAAATATACAAATGCACTTATATACTAGCTTGGATTATATTTTACCTATAAATTACGTGCAAAATAATGAATTAATAATTTTCAAAGTTACAGTGATCTATTCTCTCACTCTCTTTTACTAAAATAGCCTACAAGAAAAAATTACTTTATGCAATAAAGATATAAAATTATATCTAAGCCTAACCTTTGTAACTCACCCTCCTCACAGATACACTGGATCTCAATATTTAGAGCAGACAGTATTAAACTAGGAGCTATACTTCAGAGCATGTGCAAAATATTCTCAGAGGGGTCTGTCAGAGCCCTCCTGGTCTGAGCACAGTATGTGCTTCAGAAAGGGGGTGATGACAGAGATAAAAGTATGGTTACATATGGGGGGCGCTGGCCAAATAAGGGTATAGACTAAGATGAATGTAAGCCAGGTTTCTTACTATCAGAGAAGGAAGTTATTATAAATATGAAAAGGAAGAGAACCTGGATGGAATGGAAGGTATTGCTGTGAACTCACAGTTTTCAATATTCTGATATACAAATAAATATAAATGCAAATGTGTTATATATATGTGTGTGCACATACGTATATATGTATACATATATATTTCCTAGCTTGGTTCACTGACATGGTCTAGGAGCAGTAACACCCTAATAGCAATGAGTATAGTTATTTATATATTTATATATATATAATGAGTATAGCTATTTATATTTATTTATATTTATAGCTATTCACAGCACTCAGATCTTGGTTTCTAAATATGCTTCTCCACTGAAAACCCCAGGGCTCCTTGGAGAAATGGCTGATTCCAGACATGGGGCAAAGAAAGGACAAGATGAGCCTGGAACATTTTATTATGACAGAAAGTTAGAACTGCTCAAAAAATGATGGGGACGTTTTAGAAAGACACAGAAACCAGCCTGAAAGAGCTCTCACTGGTCAAATCAGGGATCATTTGTACATCAAAATAAATACATGATAGTAACAGATTATAACCCACCAAACTGGAAACCATTAATCCATTCATACAAATGAGTAAATGAAATCTGAAATGAAAATCTGATAAGGAACAAAATACTTACGTAGTTTCAAAGTACTTCACCACACAAAACTTCTTAATTACAAAATAAAAGGATTAACTTTACAGAGGAGAAGCCTGGTAGACACTACCTTGATCAAAATGAACCTCCAATATCAGAAAGAAGAACAAAGATGAAGGTATCATGCTCTCTGATTTCAACTATTAAACACAATATGATACTGGAATAAAAACTGACACGTAGATCAAAAGAACAGAAATAGTCCAGAAATAAACCCCTCATATATGATCATCAGTTAATTTACAATAAAGGAGCCAAGAATATACAATGGGGATTGGACAATCTTCAATAAATGGTGTCAGGAAAACTGGACATCGACATGCAAAAGAACAAAACTAGACCACTATCTTACGTAATATACAAAAATTAACTCAAAATCAATTAAAGACTTGAATGTAAGACCTGAAACCATAAAACTCCTAGAAAAAAAACACAGGCAGAAGTTCCCTGACACTGGTCTGGGTGTTGAAGTTTTGGATCTGATTCCAAAAGTAAAGGCGACAAAAGCAAAAATAAGTGGGACTACATCATTTTGACACTCTATTGTGGTGATAAAAGAAAATGTCCTTATTTGTAGGACAATGTAGGAAATGCACACTAAAGTATTCAAAGGCAACTTACTCTGCAACACACTCTCAAGTGGTTCAGGGGGAAAATGTTCTTTATACTAGACCTTCAATTCTTCTGTAAGTTTGATTATTTTTCATAATAAAAATTATTAAAATTTAAATCATTAGTGATCTAGACAAAGTCCAAAATTTATAAAAAATTGCAAATCTGAATGAAAAATTTGGATTTTCAAACAAATGTTTTTATTTAAAATGAGCCACAACTATGAATACCACTGATGTGGTCAGTCTAATTCAACAATCTTTTATTGAGGGCCCAGTATATAGGCCAGGTTCTAAGCTACACAGAACAAATGGGCCTTGAGACTACAAAAATATTAATGCACTGCTTCTGTCCTCTGAAATCATATCTGCCTAGGGGAGCAAGACACAAAGAAACAGGTTATTTCAAAACCACATGGTAATAAGAAGGATGTAGAAAATACTAGGAATGACAAAGAAGGCAATTAATTAGCCCTCACCAGGGAAGTCAGGGAAGCCTTCCTGAGATGCTAACAATTGTGCTGATTAAGAATTAATTGATGGGGTGCTTGAGTGGCTCAGCTGGTTACGCATCCAACTCTCTGTTTCGGTTCAGGCAACGATCTTAGGGTCGTGAGATGGAGCCCCGCATTGGGCTCTGCGCTCAGTGTGGAGTTTGCTTGTCCCTCTCCCTCTGCTCCCCCACTGCTTGCACTGCACATGTGTGCTCTCTCTCAAATAAAAAATAAAATAAAATAAAATGGATCACAGACCTAAATGTAAAGTCAAAACTATAAAACTTCTAGGAGATAACATAGGAGAAAATCTAGGTGACTTGGGTTTTGCAATGAGTTTTTAGATCAACACCAAAAGAATGATCCAGAAAGAAAAAACTGGTAAATTGGACTACCTTAAAAATTTGAAAGTTCTGTTCTGAGAAAGATACTCTTAAGAGAATGAAAAGACATAGACTCAGAGAAAATATTTGCAAAACCCATGTCTGATAAAAGATACATATCTTAAATATACAAAGAACTCTTAAAATTTCACAATAAAAAACCAAACAACCCATTATGAGTAGGGCAAAAGATCCGAAGAGACACCTCGTCAAACAAGATATAGTAATGGCAATAATAACATGAAAGATACTCAACATATGTCATTTGGGAATTGCAAACTAAAACGAAATACTACCACACACCTACCAGAATGGCCAAAATCCAGAACACGGACAATACCAAAAGCTGGCAAGCATGAGGAGCAACAGGAATTCTCATTGTTGGTGGGACTGTAAAATGGTACAGCCACTTCGGAAGACAGTTTGGCAATTTCACAAAGCTAAACCTAGTCTTACGATATGATCCAGCAATCATGCTCCTAGGTATTTACCCAAGTGAGTTGAAAACTTGTGTGTACACAAAACCCTTCAGACAATGTTTATAGCAGCTCTGTTCATAATTGCCAAAAATTGGAAAGAACCCAGATGTCCTTCAATAGGTGAATGGATAAACTGTAGTACATTCAGACAACGGAATATTATTCAGTTCTAAAAACAAATGAGCTGCATCAAGTCACTAAAAAGACATGACATAACCTTAAATGCATATTGCTAAGTGAAAGAAGCCAATTTGAAAAAGCTATATACTGTTTGATTCCAACTACATCTTTCTGAAAAAGGTAAAACTACAGAGACAGTAAATAGATCAGTTTGCCAGAAGTTTGGAGCAAAGGAAAGGATGAATACGGCAGGTTCAGGGAAGGAAACTATTCCACATGATCCTGAAATGATGGATACACGACATTATGCATTGGTAAAACCCACAAAATACACACCACTGTAAGTGGCCCCAATATAAACTATGGGCTTCACTCAGTAATAAGGTAGCAATATTGGTTCATCAATTATAACAAATGTGCCAAACCAATGCCCAGGGCAACCTGGGGAGGGAGGAAAGGAAGTATAGGGGAACCCTGTGTACTTTGTGCTCAATTTTTAGATAAACCTAAAACTGCTCTGTAAAACAAAACAAAACAAAAAGAAAAATACAACTACAAAGCACCACCACAGTAACAGCAGAAATAAAAGCATTAAGATTGGGGTGCCTGAGGAGGGGGTGGAGCAAGATGGCGGAGGAGTAGGAGACCTGGATTTCCTCTGGTCTTAGGAATTCAGCTGGATGGGGATCAAATCATTCTGAACACCTACAAACTCAACAGGAGATCGAAGAAAAGAAGAGCAACAACTCTCTGAACAAAAAACAACCACTTTCTGGAAGGTAGAACGTGTGGAGAAGTGAATCTGAGGCGATATTCGGGAGGATAGACGGTGGGGGAGGGGCCTCCATCAGCCGCTTCTGGCAAGTGATAGAGCCGCGGAGCACAAAATCGGAACTTTTAGAAGTCGGCTCCGCTGAGGGACGTCGCTCCAGTGGCTAAGCAGGGGGTGGAACCCTCGTGGGACAGTGTGGTCTCAGGA